TCTCCCTGTCTCCGCTATAGCCTCCATTTCACTCCACTGGTGGAATAGTAGCCTTACCTGGCACCCTGCTTCCCCATGTCTGCCTCAATTTTTGTTTTTTAAAAAACAGCCTATGTTTTTGCGTAATCCTTCCAGTGCTTTTTAAAAAGATTTTAGGTATCCATTTTTAGAGAGAGGGGAAGGGAGGAAGAGAGGGAGAGAAACAGCAATGTGTGGTTGCCCCCCACCGACGCCCCATCAGGGACTGGGAATAGAGCCAGTGACCCTCTGGTTTGCACGCTGGCACTCGATCCACTGAGCCACAGCAGCCAGGGCACCAGTGTTTTTTATTTCAGTTTTATTGAGATATAATTGACATATAGCACTCTGTAAGTTTGAGGTGTACAGCATAATTTGACCTGCATATTCTGTGAAATGACAACCACAGTGAGTCTAGTAAACATCTCTCATCCCATAGATACAAGGGGAAAAAAGGGTTTTTTTTCCTTGAGATGAGAACTTCTAGGATCTACGGTCTTAGCAACTTTTAAACACACCGTACAGCAGCGTTAACCACAGCCACCATGGTGTACATTACATTATGCCTAAATTCTATCATTTACACAGAAGCCTGAGTGTTCATCATATTGCTCCTCTTCTCAAAACCTTCCAGTGGTTCCCAAGTTCTCAAAGAGCAAAGACTTTACAGTAGCCTATGAAACTTTACATAGTCTGGTCCCTCATCTCCTTCAAGTCCAGGCTCAAATGATACCCCCTACCCAAACCTCACTAGTTAGAATTGGCACACCCCTCCCCCTTGACACTCCTAATCTCTTTCTCATCCTGCTCTATTATTTCCCATAGCATTTGCCACATTCTAACAGGACATATGATTTGTTTATTTATTTTTATTTATTGCCTGATTTATGTCATCTGTAAGAAGGTATGGATTTGTATGTGTTTGGTCACTGATACCCAGTGATTAGAACAGGACTTGGCGCATAGTAGGCACTCATCAATGTTTGTGGCATGAATAAGTATATTAGTAGAAATCACAAATGAAAAATGTATTGAATTAAGGAGTAAAACAATGCAAGAGTGTGATCATGTGTTATGTTAATCAGTATAACCTGGTACAGTGGAGCATGGAGTGAGAGGCAACACGGGAAGGGAGAAGCCCTGATTGTCACGGTCTATATTCCATAGCTCTCCTGATTTTTTTGCTTTATTCCTTCCTCTCCTCTTCTTGCATCCTGCACTATAACCTTACTAAACTATTCATGGTTCTCTAAATAAAGGTGCCACACTGTCTCTCCTAGGCTACTGTCCTATACTCTTCCTTACCTTCTTCCCTCTGGACTGAACTTAAACAATACTGCTTCTGAGAATCTGTGCTTGACCCTCAAAAGCTCTGATTACATCCCCCCCTTTATACTTACTCACATAGCACCCCATGTTGCTTAAACCTGTCACAAAATGTTGAGGACTCTGATACTGAACCCGAATGTTTTTGAACCCAGGTGCAAAGCAGTTATCCTAACAATGGCCTGGAGAGAATTGTTTCCTAGGGCTTTAGGGCTGGAAATGAAATAGCAAGCAGCATTTGGTTCCAGGAGGAATCATATTGTTGAGTCTTCTTGGCCGTGTAGATATAAATCATGTTATCAATTCATTTTTCTTGAAGTAACTGTGCACATTAGTGAAATAACACAAATGTAAATATTTCAGACACACTTTCACAGGGGCAGTGCCCTCTGAAGGGTTTTTGTTTATTTTTGCACTTACATCACTTTCGGATATTTAGGGATTGGGTGTTTTCCTAGCTGGGCCCAGGGTTGGGTTTGGGGGTTCATGACATTGGGGAAGAGACAAGTGGTATGCTCAGAAAAGGGTTCCTACCAAATGACTACAGATCTGACTCAGAGGTGACGTGAGAGGATATCCCTGTGTAGGGATCTCCAGAAGCCATGACCTGTGCAAAGAGATTGAAGTTTCCTTGTGATAGCTTTAGGTGTTTGCTTTGCTAAGGAAGTGGAGGTACAGTTAAGTTTTGTTAGAAGTGCAGAGTGAGCTGGAGAAATGTGGAGAGGTGGTGACAGACCCGAAGGCCAGAGGTCGTAGGAGACAAGCTAAGAGAAACCTTTCTAAGTGACAGGTAACCAGCAATGACCAAGATGTGTGAGCATTAGTCAGGAATTCTCCAACATTCATGAAGACACCGATTTCCCATTAGCCATGCAACATAAAAGCTCAAGTTATTCTATTTGGATATTAAAACAATAAACGCGAAAGCCTAGAACTGGGGGTCCCTCCGATTGCATTTTGAAGGCTCCGTCTTGGATAGGGACCAGGAGATAATGCTGAGGACAACAGCCACCATCCTGCTGGAACGTGTGTGCAGGTCTTGGTGTAGACCCACAGAAGTGAGCACTGATTTGGAAGATACTCGTGGGTCCTGAGGGGCTGAGATAGACTAGACCCCACAAGATGCCTTAAAATGCCTCAAGCCACAGAGCGCTTGGCAAACAGTTTTCAAGAAGAAAGAGACTGCATAAGCAGCTTTATTAAAGTTGGCTGAAGATAGAACTCTTAGATTCCCAGAGATTGGGATGGGGGCTTAGTTACATGAAAAGTGATTAGCAAAATAATTACCACAGCCGGATTTCTGAAAAGCCTCAGCTACTTTTTTTTTTTTTAAGTGTGGGGGAGGGCATACAGTATCCTAAATCCTCAGAACCCCTGGGTAGGAACTTCCTTCCAACTCCACTACCATTCCCAGTCCCAAGTCTCTAACCTGCCTCCCGACATCTGGGACTGCTACATATCCGATTTGAGGCCTGTGTACTTAACCTAGAGGGCTAGAAAAAGACAGCTTCTATCTACCCCATGGGGCTGTAGCAGTGTGGAAAAAAAAAATGTCCTCAAGGTATTTAGGAGCTCCCATTATTTTAGTAATTGGTGGGAAAAGTAATTGAAGACAGGAATTGCCTGGAGGAGTTCGTTTGTTTAAATGACTTGCTTTTACTTTCTCGGTGTTGAAGAAGCAGAATGCTTCTTATTGTACCAGACCCTTCTATAAAACACCTCCTCTCTTTTTAAATGAGAGACATCATTGATTAAAGATCACTTGTGTTTCAGAAGTGGGCTCTATATAGTAAATATATAATACAAGTTGGTGGAAAGATGCAGCTCAGTTTCAGAAACAATAAAGTATATTTAAAACGTACATTTGGACATAATGAAATATTACAGGAGACCATGTAACGTAAGGCTCATGACATCACTGTAGGTATACCTCTGCTGCCCCAAACAGACACATTTCAGTTCCTGACTGAATCAAGAAGTCTTTCTAGACAGTTTAGTGCCTCACTATGTAATGTACAGCTCAAGATGTATGTCTGTCAGCTAATGTACAAACATAAAAATTCAGCGCTTTTAGATGTTCAGGAATAATGTATGAAAACAAATGTTCAAAGTTGAATGTATGCCATTTTAAAGTTTATCTTATGGCTTATAGTTTTTTTAAAGCTTGTTTTATAGTTTAAATGGGAAAAGGGAAGCTTATATCCCTATTTCCAAAAGATTAAGGGGTTTTTCTCTCTCTTTCCCCCCAACGAAGTAGTCTGTCTATTTCAGCAAAAGAGTACACCGGGTGCTGTGTTGGCCTCTCCGGAACAGGACGTGTTTAAGTTTGCTACACAGATAATGATCGCTTTTAGCAACATATATATCTCCCTGAAAGTGCATCGGGATATTAGTGCGGAGAGAAAATGGCGGCGGGGGGGGTGGGGGAAAGAGAAATTCTTCAGTTTAGGATCAGAAATGGGCAATGGATAATTTAAGGTTAGTTGTAGAACCACTGGCCTCCAACTGTGTATTTGTCATCTACACTTTTTCCAAAAGGAGATTTCACAACAATAAATTTACAGAACAGTCCTATGTTGTAGTTTTACATTCTAAATCAAGAAAAGTCGCTATTTAAAACGCATTAAGCTGGAATTCTATAACCGATTTGTTAACCGCCCCCCCTCCCGCCATCGCTGCCCTCTGTTTCTTCTTGCTATCTTATTTTGACGCAAATAGAAACAGAACAGCGTTTTAAGATCGGGCATTTCTCCGTTTGGTGCAGACATGCCGTTTTCTATGAATTTTCCCACCTCTGGGAAATGTACTTCTGAAACGTGTAATTGTTTGGGAATAAGCCAAGTGGAACTATGACGCAATTATCCCCTGCAAGTTGCCCTACAAAAAAATGATGTCATTTGGTGCAGATGTAGTCACTTTTATAGCACAGGTAGATATGGTAAAGCTTCCTCCAAGTCGTTCCCGATCTCCCCACCCCCACTGACTGCAAGAGGCAAAGACATTTTCCGGGCTTCCTAACACACAACTTGTCGAGAGTGGGCGCACGGCAGTGGCTCGAGCCCACCGCTCGTGCAGGGGAAGAGGGACCGCTGCGCGGCGACTGGTTCAGCCAAGCGTTCCCAGCCCCGACGGCGAGGGAGGCCTCCTCCGGCAGGGATCGCGGCCACAGTGTGGGGCCACCCGATCCCCTTAGTGGGGCCCGCTTGCCATGGCCAGCCGGAACGTGGGGCCCCACGGGCGTGGGACAGCCCTGCCCCCACCCTGCTCCCACACCCGCTCCCGCGGTGCCGGAAGTGACGCGCACTGGCTGAAAGATGGCGGCATTGGCGCTCAACCAGGGGGAAGGTAAACACCCTCCGGGCCGCCGCCCGCCAGCGGGCCCCCTTGAGGCACCAGTGGGGACTGAGGGCGCCTCCTGGGCCTCCTGGCCATCTCTCCGCTTCCCACCCTTCGACCTCCCTACCCACGTGGCAGGCTTCCGCGTTGGGACAACGGCGCACAGAGCCCCCTGCCTGCGGGCCCCGCCTCCCTGGGCGGGCCCCGGGCGGCTCTCACCGCCCGCAGGGGGCGCGCGGCCCGGAGCGGCCCCTGGCTCGTGGCCCCACATGCCCCGCCCCTTGCCCGCCCCTTGCCCGCCTTCCTCCACCCCCGGCGTGGGTGATCCTGAGGCTCGGCGCGCTTGGGGCAGAAGCCCGGAGACGCCGTCGTCGACGCCGCCACCGTCAGCGCTTCTGCCGCTACCCGTGGCCCCTCAACCCCTTTCCCCGCCCGCGGTCCGGAGTCGGTCCTCCTGCTGAGCCCCGCCAGGTGCCGTGTGCCCCAGGCGTTGGCAAGGCCGAGCCCGGCCCCGACGCCGTACCGCCTCTCCCCGAGCCGACAGTCTCGACTTGCGACTCAGGGCTGTCTTCTTTCCCAGGACTGGTTCCGAGGGGGCAGCAGGCGCGCAGACTCGCCCCCCGCCGGAGCGCCCGGGTCCGGCCCGGGACCGGACCCTTCTAGACGTTCGAGGACCCTGCCCAGTGCCGTCCGGCAACCGACCGCCCACCGTCCGGCCGCCGGCCCACTTCTTCCTGATGCGAACTGCCGTCTACTAGAGGTTGGACGGACCCCCGAGGTACGTAGCCGCCCCTGGCCCTCCGGCCTGCGGGAGCCCGGGCTTCGGCCGCGGCCCCGCGCTCGACTCCGATTCGGTAGCCCTTTCTGCACAGACCCCAGTCAAACGTTTGGTAGACGCCGGGACCTAATTTGTCTTTGACTACTTAAATTGTTTGAATTTTAATTTTTTTCAGAGAGGAAAAAAAAGGAAGAAGCATAATTCAGCCATTTTTTGCAGCACACAGCTGCAGGTACCATGATTATTTTCTTCCTAACCCTTTCTTTCCCTTTAAAAATCCAATTTATGCCTGAAATAGAACTATACGAAATGCGAGGCATAAAACGTGGAATCAGAAGGTCTGGGTTCGGCTGGGTGACTCTGAGAAAATCGCTTACTGAGTCTTGGTTTCTTATCTATGAAATCTAGTCACATCACAGGGTAGTGAGGACTATATGAGGCCATATATATGGGAATAGTGTTTAGCTGTAAAGTGTAAAAATAAAAATGCAAGGCAGTTTTTTTGAGTAACCTTTGCCAGAGTGGTTAATGTAGTGGCTAACTGTTGCTGCCTCTTTATATCTATATTATGAGTATAAGCAATAAGTACGGAATGTCGAAGCAGTGCTGTGAATTGACTAGATATAATAGTCACGTTGCTTGGCCTTCCTACGAAATGCTAACTGCTTATTTAAATAACGGTATTCTTTAATTCAAATTTAACGTTATTGTGGTGCTTTGCTTTTCATTTTTCTAGGCCATTTATTTGCTTTTCCTTACTGGCAGTATTTAACACCTTCCATTTCTTCAGTCTTACTATTTTCTGAATGGATATTTTCTGTTGTTAACCTGATTAAATTGTAATTCTGAAAATGCTTTTAACATAAATACCCTAATATTAATGCCTATTTTTTTATATCTAGGGACTAGGATGCCTGAATATCTCTACCAATGTGAAAATTGTTTTCATAAGCTTCTGAATGCATACAGATTTCTGTAATTCTTAGTGCATCTAGAAATGTATAGAAAATTCAACTTTTTGACAAATGTAATAATGTTTATGTAATTTAATTCTCTTTTTTTTTTAATCACAACATTGAGGTGCCCAGAAACAGGTTTTCAGTGGCAAAGGATGTTAATTTGCACTCTTTATTGCTGATTAACTTGGAATAATAGGATAGTAAATATTTGTGATTTGAAAATTAGACTTATTTGCAGAATTTGTAATAGAAATGTGTAACAGAGCAGTATGGGATCATCCTTACTCCACACATCAAAAATTCAAGTATGGTTTGGCTTTAAAAATGGTCCACAAAAAGTGAAAGAAGCTTTTTTTGTATATTATTTTAGCTAACATGGTTTTCTGAGATTTTTTTTTCTCTGAGATGTTTTAGTCAATTTATAATCCAGTACCAGTTGTCTTTTCAGAGTATGCTTTTGTGTTTTGTAAAAAGGGAGAATAATAAAAAGGCGGGCGGGATTAAATTTGCTAAAGGGAGAGCATACTTTAAAATCCTAGGTTTTTATACAATGGGCTTATCGCTTGTCCTGAAGGTAAAATTTGGGAAATTGCTGCTTTATCTGGAATTTTAAGGTTTGCCCTCTGTGCCTTGATTTGGGTTATCTGGAGCTAAAATCTTGGGTCTGGAGCTAGCTTGGCTTCATGGGTGTTCAGATGGGCCCCGAACTTAGTTTAATAATCTGCGTAAAAGTGTCATTTTATAATATAAAGGTGAATGGTAAAATTCATGATCATATCGAAATTTAAATTTTTTTCTTAGGACAAATTAAACAGCAAAAAACTCCATGACAAGTCTAGAGAGACCTTAGAAGAAAGCAGAAAGCTTTATGTCTTAGTATCTTTAACGACTTTCTGCCTACTTTGAGCAAGAGGCCCTGTATTTTCATTTTGCGTTGGGCCCCCAAAATTATGTAGCCTGTTGACTAGGTTGTCATTTCTCATTGTAAATGTTTTGAGAGTGAATAACATTAACTGTGAGGAAAATGAATCTTTAGTTTATGAGGGGTTGACTTAATTTATTAGCACACATCTCCTCTGAATTAAAACGCTGTACATTGCGACAGGGATTTTTTTTTTTTAATTGAAGAAAAATGGAAGGCAGTCATTGGGGAAGCATTGTAGGATAGTTGGGTAAGCACGAAGGTTCTAAAACCAGGCAGACCCCAAGTCTACCACTTATTAAGAATTATATCCTTGGGCAACTTAACCTCTGAGCTTTGATTTTTCTCATTTTTAAATCAGGGATAGTTATAGAACATGGAAGGTCATGAGGATTAACTTTATGTATTCATCCCACAAATATTTATTAAGCACTCATTATGTGCCAAGTGCTGTTTTTTCCTAAGTTCTGGGGATACAACAGTCAATGAAACAAAACAAAAAATTTTTTTAAAGGGAACACCAAGCAACAAAAAAAGTAAGGAAAATAAGCCTTATCTTCATTTAACATGCTAAGAGGAAAAATTAAGCAGAAAAAGTGCGGGTTTTCTGGTTGATGGGGTGTGTGGGAGGTTTTTTACTTTAAAGAGGGGGTTTGAGGAAGGTTTCGCTGAATGACACTGGAGGAAAGACCTGAAGGGAGCCATGTATATCTGGGGATGGAGTGATCCAGGCAGAGGGAATGGCAAAGGCAGAGCCTTAAGGTGGGTGTGTGGCAGGTTTTCAAGAAACAGCAAAATGGCCAGTATATCTGGAGCAGAGTGAACAAGGGGGAGCAATGGGAGATAACTATTATTGATGTTTTAGGAATCGCTAGACGTGTCCTCATAGTTTGTCTTTGCCATGGTATATATTGTGCTGCTGCAGGTCCAAAAGTGGAAAACCTTTTCAGAATTGGAAGTTTTAACTTCCAAATAAAGAAACTAGGAAAGCTGGTTCCTCAGATTTTCTCTTTTTAACACGAGACCTTTAAAACTCATCTGGCTAAAGTATTGAAGCAAGTAAGAACAGATAGAAAATTTATATGTTATCTCTGATGAGATAATTGATTATATTTAGTTAGTGATTTTATGTCATTTAAAGATTTTCTGGAAATTTGTATCATAACATCAAGACCTTCCATGTAACTCTCGTGAAGAACAAAAGTGTTAACACGATGATATTGGTGATTTCAAGTTAGGATGTAACTTAGAAGATTTGGGGTTTTATTCCCCAGTAGAGGTTTTTCCTAGAATTCTCACTGGATCCAGTCTCTAAAGGCTAGGGAAGCTGTTTTCCATGACATCACCCTTGGATTACTTCTACTTGTAGTGAGGAATGAGCAGAGGAGCATTAAATTAAAATCTTCTGATGAAAAAAATAGTGTTGAAGCAGGAGTGGTTTTTTTTTTTTCTTACAAGGTTTCATGTATTCTAGGATGACTAAATGCTAAACATACCTGAAAAGTGAAGTAATTTGGATAATAGGTGCCAACCTGGAGGCTGAAGGACCCCAGAGCCTTCCTAAAAGCTTAGTTAGATGGTCATTTACAATTTGGTCCTGAGTTAAGGAAACATTTTGATGGACAAGGAAGAATTTTTGGTATTAAACAAATTGAAAGTTAACTTCCACAGCCTTTCCTCCTATATTAAACATATTTCTCAATTTGAGTAAGTATATCCGACAGTAAAATGACTGCTAACAGAGCAAATAGTCTATTTTCAGATTTTTCTTTACTTTTTAATGGAGAGGTTGGTTGAGTTTAAAATTTTTACTTCATAGGTTACAGAAATTGTAAGAAATGTTATGACTCAGAAATTAATTCTATTTTTATCTGTAGTAAGCCTTGCATTCTTTTTTTTTACTGTACAAGTATGGCATTTTCTGCATAGGCATCATCTTGGGTAGGCTAGCATCGTTGGAGAATGAAAATGGTATGAAACAATTTAAATTTTTCATCGAAGATAAACATATCAGCCTCTGTGAATTTACCTTCTATACTGGATAACTTAGGGTTTTTATGAATTTTCAAGCAACTTGGAGGGAGGAGACTGTGACAGCATTAAATTATTGCTTGTGGCATAAACATGGAGGTTAGTTAATTATGAAATATTGGATCTGGACAGTTCTACTTAATTGTCTAGAATTTGCCTTCACACCAGAATGGCAGCCTTCTAACTGAAAAGGAAGCATTTAATTTCCTGTCCAGTGTTACCCCCACCAGACTTTTTCTTTGCTGGTCACTAGAGAGTTTGAACTGTTAGAAATTTCTGGGATATAAATAGCAGTAATAGTCTTCCAGGGCAGAGGTGCTTTGGTTGTAAGTGTGTGTGTTGTCGTTTATTCCATTTATCCCTTATTGTAACTGTCAGTGGTAATCAAATCTTTTGGTCTCAGGACCTTGCTATATTCTTAAAAATGATTGGGATCCTGAGCTTTTATGTTTGTGGGTTGTACGTATCTATATTGGCCATTAATAGAAATTTAAACTGGGAAATTAAAAAAAAACTAATTTGAAATTCATTTTTTAAAACCCTACTTGTTAATCTAAATAACATTTCTTATGAGAAAATAACTATTCTCCAAAAGAATGAAAAACTTGGTGAGAAGAGTGGCATTGTTTTACATTTTTGCAAATCTCTTTAATGTTTGCCTTAATAAAAGACAGTGGGCTTTTTCATTTTCTTTTCTTTTTCTTATTTTAAACAGGAAGCATGGATTTTTTCTTTAAGATTTTATTTACTTTTAGAGAGTGGGGAAAGGGGAGAAAGAGAGGGAGAGAAACATCAATGTGTGGTTGCCTCTTGCACAGCCCATAACTGGGGGCCTGGCCTGCAACCCAGGCATGTGCCCTGACTGGGAATCGAACCCTGGTGGTTTGGTTCACAGGCCTGTGCTCAATCCACCGAGCTACACCAGCCAGGGCCAACAGTGGGCTTCTTATCACTTCTGCATTCAGTCTGTTATGGTATCACTGGAAACGAAATAAGTGAAAAGGACAAATAACTTTTAAAATTATTATGAAAATAGTTTTAATCTTGCAAAGTCCTTTTAGGGGGTTAGGACCTCAGTTGTCCCTGGACCACACTTTAAGAATCACTGTACTAACTGTTTTTATTCATAGAATGTTTGAGATTTTCTTTTTTCTTTAGTCAGTTCCAAGTTTATAAGACAAACTCTGCAGTATTTTTTTCCTAGTAGTATAAGTATGCCTTGTCATTTAGTTTAATTTGATTTGGTTTCCCTTTTTGAAAACCTATCATTTCAAATTCTGAAGGCCAAGTATAGAATACATACACATATAGGTTTATAAACTGTGATTTCCCTTAATCCGATGATCTATTTAGAAAAGTGAGGATATGGGATTTCTTGTACATTGAACATTTTATATGTTAGTAAATTTTTTTTTTATCAAGGTCCCTTAATGGATTCCTATCCCAGCCCTCACTGATTTATAGAGTTCTTATTTGAGTTTTGTTTCATTTTACAATTTTTATAACTATTTTTCAGATTGCAATAGCTCTTTATTTAGAGAATTCTTATGCATAAGGTTTTGTATTTTTTCTTTTTGCATTCTTAGTTTCCTTTTTCTAGCTATTTTTATGTCTTTTTTGTGTGTTTTTGTGTTATTTTAACTTAAGCTCTACTTTTTTTCTTTGTAGCTTCCAGGGTGTGTATTGTGAACAAGTTGGTTTTGTTCCATATGTTCATTTTTAAGTTTGGTTGTTTGATGTCTTAAACCTTGATGTTCTAGATCTGCGCTCTCCAACAGAATACGATGCAAGCCACACATGTGATACAAAATTTTCTCATAGCCACAGTTTAAAAAAAGTAAAGAATAAGTGAGATTCATTTTAATATATTTTATTTAACCCTGTACATCCAACATATTATTCCAACATGTTTTCAGTATAAACATTTGTATAATGAGATACTTCACATTCTTTTTTTTTTTTTTTGGACTAAGCCTTCAAAATCTGTTGTCCATTTTATACTTACAGCACATTTCAATTTGGACTAGCCACATTGGCTTCCATGTTGAACAGCACAGATATAAGATATAGAGAAGAGTAGCTACTCTGGTTAGGGCAACAAAACCTGAGGAACCCAGAAAAGCTAGAAAACTATACTTGGTGTGGCAGGAAACAGTGGAAAACAATTTCACTGCAAAATAAGGTTGTGTTTTGACTGCCAGTACATCTAATCTCTTACACAATTGCATTGTGATAAACCCTAGGGAGGGGTGGGATCTGTGGAGGGGAGTTGGAGGAATGACATTCCCGTGGTCTTGTGCGTGATAGGCAGCATTGGGCAAGAGTTGGACAAGGGAAGCCAGCATTGGTTGACCTCTGGTGGGTTACCTTGCTCTGAGATAGACATTTAACTTAATGTTAATTCATTTAATTACCACCCCTACTCAAGATGATGAGTATTATTCCTAAGATATGGATGAAAACTGAGGTCAGGAAGGTAACTAAATTTCTCCATGTTACATAGGTGGTAAGTACTGGTAAGCTCTCTGATTTCAAAGGTTTTGCTCTGTCTAACCGCTGTATTAGGTTTTTTTTTTGGTTTTGGGTTTGTTTTTTTTTTTTTTGAAAATCAAATTCTAGTCTTAATTCTTTCTAACTAGTTGTATGACCTTGAAGAAAAAAATCACCTGTGGACCTTAGTATCTTCTTTAATCTAGTTAGAGTTGATCTGGGTCCTGAGAGATTTTTCTGAGAAGGTGGGCTGGGGTTCGTAGTGCTGTTGCTAGGGAGAAGGGTTATTCTAGAGTTTACTGAACTGTTAAAGGGTCAGGTTTATTATATTGGTTCCAGTAGCACCATGAAGGGGTTGAAAAGTAAGCCCTAATGTTATGGTGTACTTAAGGGCCCTATACTGTCGTAAGTCTTGTATTAACTCATTTAATCCTCAGAGTCACCTATGAGTTAGGTTCTATTAATATTAATATTCCCTTTTCACAGATGAGGGCAGTAGAACACAGAGAGGCAAAGTAGCTTGCCCCAAGGTCACAAAGTTAAGAAGTAGGACCAGGATTCAAACCCAGGTATGTGACTCTAGACCTGTACTCTTAACTCTCACTACTTCCATTTAAGGACTTATATCATGTTGATCAGTTAATCACTGAGTATTTTTATCACTTTCTACTTGAACACATGCTTCCCATAAAAGTTTAAAATACTGTCGCTGCTCTAAATCTGTTAGTTTTGGTGATAGATGCACCAAGCTTTTTCATGTAGAAAAGTTAATGTGCGTGTCCCAGCTATCACAAATTAGTTTTAGAAGTCAATTTGGATCACATAAACTTCACAAATGCATTGCTAAGATTGAAAAGTAGCTATAGTTTATTCTGCATATCTCCGTAAGTACATTATACATCTGTAAAATCATATAAAATGGAATAAGAATTTTATGATAAATTTTTAGAGATCATCGTGTTTTCATTTTACAGATGCAGAGATAAGACCAAGAAAGTTTGAGTAACTTAAAGTGTAGCCATTTCTGTGTTAGTTAGGGACCTTGGTTATACACAGGGGAAACCTACCTCAGGTAGTAAAAAGGGAGAATTTCTTCTAGGAATGTAAGGATTTCTCTCAGAACCCAAGGGCAGGAATAGAGCTCGGCCTGGGAACTGGGTAAATGAAGGGCCACTCCCTATCCTCTCAGGTTAGCTTTATTGTTTCTAAGTTGACTGACTTTTTCCGTCTTTTTTTTTTTAACTCTTTTAAAAATTATTAACAAGAAAGCTAACAACCCATTTTTTTAATGGACATTCTTACCACACACCCATAAACACACACATAGATGGCCTTCAACTTACTATGATTTGATATATGATTTTTCAGTTTTACAATGATGCGAAAGTGATGCCACCCAGGTCTTGGTTTCTAACACCATTCTCCAGTAAAAGGAACTAGGGCTCTTTGGAGAGATGGCTGATTCTAAGACTGTGCCTTCCTTTTCTTTATCGTCCACCGTCTTGTGCAGAGCGATTTGCCTGGGAGACGACCGTCTCTAACTTCGATCACCGTGTCCTTGCCCCCTTCGTTCCCAGCGGTGAGTCGGGCCTGGAGGAATCCCAGAGGGAGAAGACTCTAGGGTGCGCACGCGCGGGGGTGGCGGGCAGCGGAGAGGCAGCGGCGCGAGTGACTGACTTTTCGCTGATACACATCACGTGGCAGGCAGAAGTTGGTGCCCACAGCTGCTCTTCAACATGTTCCAGTTCAAGTTATACACAGTGCATGCCTTTCTTTTCCCTTACTTTCTCTCCTCTTTTCTAAATGTTTGACAAAAGAGCGTTCATCTTGATTCCCATTTCCCACTGGGTCTGACCATATGTGACTGGGAACGGGAACACAGAGTGGAAGCCTGTCTGCAGCGAATCCCCCCTCAGTGGGCTGTGGGTGCCCAGAGGTGAGCGGGTACTATGTTTATATATTAAGGATCTTTTGACACACAGGGTGCCGGATCCTCCTCCTCCTCCTCCTGCTCCTCCTTCCTTTTCTTCCTGCTGCTTTGCCCGTTGATGTTTCCACCATAGTAAGTGTCTGGAACCTAGATTGCTTTTTTTGTTGTTTGTGAAAGCATGGTATCTCTTTTTTAAAATTTCTTTTAGATGGAACTTCTTTTCAGAGAAATGAATATTACCTGTTTGACACTTTACTGCACAGTGACAACGTGAATAAAAAGGGCTACTTTGACAGGAAGTAAAATATATGGTATTTCAGGCACTGTCAAAACAACAGATTAATGAAACACAAAGCAGTCTCCTCTCAAGGAGATAAACAGTGATGGGCAGCCTTTTGTTAGTAATTTTACAGTAAATGTGACCAATACATCTTGAAGGATCAGAGTGATCATTGGTATCCATAATGATCCTGAGAAAGATATTGAAATATCAGAATTTTCATCCAGTTTGTTATTTCATTCTAATGAGTTTGAAAATTGATAAGTGTGGTATTGGCAGTCCTCCACTAACCAGAATGTGTGATTATTCAGACACCACACTATATGCTGTTTGTTTTGTTCCACATATGCCTCATATCACTTGGAAAATTCTAAGCTCATTAATTTTACCTTTAAAAACAGTACCGGAAAAAAAAAAACACCAATAGCTTCCTTTAATCATGAGTGTTATAAAGTAGTTCTGCCAAGCCTTGAGTACAGTGTAAAATATTTCATATCAGTTTTCCAGATTATAGACAGCTTTCTTGTGCTGTACCTTTCCAGAATGAAAGCATATAGCTTTCGGATTAATGGAGCACTGATTAAAAATTTGATACTAATTTTATGTTGTGAGTGCTTTACTGTCTTAGTTAAGTGAACTTATGTGGTACAGTCAATAAGACTTAAAGGTAAGTTAGGGACAAATGGGCAGAAAGAGGCACCTAGAATGTCTCTTGATAAGATAGGAAATACAAAAGAACTGATGGGGGAGGATAGAATTATGATTCTGTTTGGATATATTTTGAAATCCCCCTGGGACACCCAGAAGTGTCCAACGGGTGATTCGGTATTTGCAGAGTACTGGTGTAAGGGTAGAGATGGTCATGGCAATGGTAAAGGAGGTATTAGTGAAAAACATGGGTTTGGATGAGATCATTTACGGAGAAAGAGTGCTTAGATGAGACGAGAAAAGGGTGCAAGCACAGAATCCTGGGGAACACCAGTGTTTAAGGAGTAGCTAGGAATAAGGGGTAGCTCAAGGAAAATGAGCTCAGGAAGGAGATTGAGAAACAAGCAGCCCAAGGATAAGAAGAGAGTCGGGAAAACAGTGTAATGAAGTTGAGAGAGTGCTGAGTTGAGAGATGGCGTCATGCTGTGCTGCAGAAGGATCCTGGGAAATAGGGATGAGGATGTAAGTATTGGATTTGGCAGTTCAGGATGTTCTTTAGGTTAAAAAAAAAAAAAGAACTTTTACAAAACTATAGTACACTTCCATTGCAGATAGATTAAAAAACAAATTAGCAGAAAGTGGGGGGAAGTAAAACTGTCTGATATTCTACCATCCCAAGGTAACCATTTTTAACATTTTGGTACTGTAATCCTTTCAGACATTCATCCATTCATTTATTTGTTTATTTATAAAAGAACTTAATTTTCAGAGGGGAAGGGAGGGAGAAAAAGAGGGAGAGAAACATCTATGTGAGAGAGAAACATCAATCAGTTGCCTCTTGCATATCCCCAACTGGGGACCTGGTCTACAACCCAGGCATGTGCCCTGACCAGGAATCGAACCAGCAACTTTTAGGTTTGTGGGATGATGCCCAACCCACCAAGCTGCATCAGTCAGGGCCAGGCTTTTATTTATTAACACTTATTTTTTAGATGACATCTGACTGGAATAACTACAGAATACATGGGTTAATGTGTCGAGAAGTATAGAATGTCATAGACAACATGTTGATGGAACAAAGCAATAGAATGTAGTAATAGCCTACTCACCAGAGTGGAGAAGTGGTGCCTTTAGTGTGCCTGTGGAAGCTGCCTTTTCACTTTTGGCAGCTGAAGGCTCTGCCAAATGCAGGGTGCAGAGATGATTCCTGAAAGGCACAAACCTCCACACCTAACACAGTGCCTGGCGTGCAGAGATGCTCTTTTAGTAAGTAAAGTTATTGGTGATAGAGTGGTGAGATTGCAGTGATGGTTTCCTTCCAGGAGGTGTACAGCAAGTGACTGTGGTGCCAGTTGCTTCGCTGGAGGGCTTGTGGTCCAAATACCCAGCCAGGGAAAGGAAAGAGCTTGGGAAATTGGGTCTCATACCAGAAGGTCTAAGCTAGAGAGGACAGAGGTAAAATTTGGAGATTATTGACCAAGTGAAAAAAGAGGAAACAGTTAAGCCAGAGAATGGGCAGTTGACAGTTAACAATTTCAGATGTAGACCTTTTCTGGATTATGGTGAAGTCTAATAGGTTTGGGAATAAGTTTTTAAAATAAAGGAAGTGGGGAGATTTTAAGGTTTGAAGTGGTCAGGGAATTTTGATTCTTGGCTTTTGGATGAGTGATCTCACATGAGCAGTGAGGAGGTGTGGAAGATGACTCTTAGCTAGGTGCCAGAGTCATCAGGAAATGTGGGAGAGATTGATCAGGATATGTGTATATGATAAGTGACAATGAGGAATAGGTGATGGATTTTTATCTGAGTGAAAGACCATGTTTTAGAAAAGGACAATAGAAAGATACAAGAAGATTTAGAAGATAGGTTTGTAATCTATAGGAGAGCATTTTTTCAATGAAGAATGTAGAAAAGTATTCTTATTTAAATCAGACTGTAGAGAAAACTTTCTGTGACTAGGATGAGCCTTTAGGGGAGTTCATTTACACTGAAGCAGTGTTCCACTAGCCACAGTGGAAAGGGTTGGGAGGGAACTGGGGGATGGGAGGACAGTTCATTGAGGAGGGGGCTCAGAGCTGTGTGAGGATGAGGGTTGAGGGGATGGATGGTCTGGGGTGGGGTTGTGTGTGAAGGAGAAAATTACTTCATAAACAGCCTAGTAGACTGGATGAGTTTATTTTGCTTTGCTTAAGAGCTCTATTATTTCACTATCTTGGCTTCATTTCTCTGGTATGCAAAAATGTGCTTTAATGTCCTTTAAAATTATGTATTTATATTTTAATTATATAAGCAATGGTCACTTGATAAAGATAAGGTTAATGAGGTAAGTAAAAAAAAGTTAAACCTCAATATTTCTTGAACACCCAGTTCTTGGGAATATCATTTTGGTATATATTCCTCTGCACTTTTTCTCATCTAAACAAATACATGTGTATTAATTTTTGAAAATATACCAAGTATATTGCAGTTGCCTCTTTTTCTCCTCCATGACAATACCTAATAAATATCTTTTGTCAGAATAGGTAGATTGCCGCTATCATTTTTGGTTGTTATAGCAATTCATTATAGGACTGTACCATATTTATTTAATAATCTGTTATTGGGCTTTTGAACACTTTCCAGTTTTTTATTATAAATAAGGCGAGAAAGAAAAACCTTCTGTGTACAACTCGGCACATTTGTCTGATTCTTTCCTTTGGTTCTAGAAGCTTTCAAGGTGAACAGTGTACTTTTTGGTTTAATTTCTTTTCTGTCTCCTTTTCTCATAATTTAGTATTTGAGAAATTATCTTTATATTGTTAATTTGGGGAAATGTTTAAATATGTTGGGTGGATAGTGTAAAATCAATGTTTGTAAGTTGTTAACGATTTACCATTTTTGGTAGGTATTTAATAACTTTTTTTTCATGGGTAGTGAAGCCAAAAACATTAGCTTGCAAATCTTTAGGTTATCTTTTCCCAAAGGGCTTGTATGTTTACAATCTAGGCAGTGGAATTGAGATAATTATAAAAAATTGTTTAAATTCTAAGTTGATAATGCCTTCGGAATGCATGGAAATGATTAACGCAGTTTTCTTCGATTACTTCTTTTTCAGGTGATTCATGGCAGGGGACATGGAAGGATTCTGTTCCTCCATCCATGACACCAGTGTCTCTGCTGGGTTCAGAGCACTGTATGAGGAGGGACTGCTTCTTGATGTCACTCTGGTTATTGATGATCATCAGTTCCAGGCCCATAAAGCACTCTTGGCCACCCAGAGTGATTACTTCAGAATTATGTTTACTGCAGACATGAGGGAGCGTGATCAGGACAAAATTCATTTAAAAGGTCTAACTGCTACCGGTTTCAGCCACGTCCTTCAGTTTATGTACTATGGAACTATAGAACTGAGTATGAATACTGTTCATGAGATTCTTCAGGCTGCCATGTATGTTCAACTTATAGAAGTGGTGAAGTTCTGCTGCTCTTTCCTATTAGCAAAAATCTGCTTAGAAAACTGTGCCGAAATCATGAGACTCTTAGATGATTTCGGTGTAAACATCGAGGGAGTCAGGGAGAAGCTGGAATCCTTTCTGCTAGACAACTTTGTGCCACTCATGTCCAGGCCTGATTTCCTGTCTTATCTGAGTTTTGAGAAGCTCATGTCTTATTTGGATAATGATCATCTGAGCAGGTTTCCAGAGATAGAGCTGTACGAGGCTGTGCAGTCTTGGCTGCGGCATGATAGAAGACGCTGGAGACATACCGATACCATTATTCAGAACATCAGGTTTTGTTTGATGACCCCATCCAGTGTTTTTGAGAAGGTTAGTACATTTGAAAACAATAGAAGGTACTCAGTTAAGGCCGTATGTCTTATAGATAAGATTCCCAGGCTTGGTCAGGAGCCAAAAAGAGAATGAATAAGAAGAGTTCATATTTAAAGAGTCTAATTTGTTCTAGCTTGTGCATTTAGGTTTTTTTAAATACACATTTTGCAGGTGAAAGAAGAATCAGGTAGGTAATAGAGTGCTTTCATTTTAATATATTTTAAAGATTTTATTCAGAGAGGGAGAGGGAGAGAAACATCAGTGTGTGAACGAGAGATTGATTGGTTGCCTCTCGCATGCCCCCAACTGGGTACCTGGCCTGCAACCCAGGCGTGTGCCCCTGACCTGAAGTCAAACCGTAGACTCTTCGGAGGTTGGTGCTCAATCCACTGAGCCACCCCAGCTAGGGCGGATGCTTTCCTTTTAAATGTACTTTTAAAGTGGAGGCATAATTATTTAGCCTGAAATATTGCAAGTTTGCTTTAGCTTTTCTTTTTTCACAAAGTAATTAAATTGGAACTGTGTGAGGCTAGTTCTCATTTAAAAAAATTAATTTAGGTAATACATGCTGAAATTAGAGTTGAGTTTTATAGTTCTGAATGATATGCATTAATACAGTTTCATATTCCTCTAAAATGTGGTAAGGAAACATAAAATAGCTCCCAAAAACCAACTGGTTCTAGTTGTGATTTTTCTCCCAGTTCTGTTTTTCCCCATTTCACTGTGCATACTAAATTTAACTATGAAAATGATGTTTATGTCTAAAACCATTGTTTTGGCATTTCTAGAGAAATAGATTATAAATCCTGTAGCTACATTGATCAAACTGCACAAGGTCTTTCTCCAAAATAGTCTTGGCCTTTTTGCATGTAGCATTTTTCATCTTTATATCAGAGTCTTACTTGTGATTCTTTCTTGCCCAAAGGAGAACAAGCAGTTTCAGTAATTGCTTAACTTAATTGGCTTCTAATCACATGGCTACCTCTGGGGCTCTTTATCTCTTAAATCTTTTCTTCTTTCTAGAAACTACAAGTAAAGCTTTGGTCGACACCCTTCATATTAAATAGTTCTTAAGCTTTAGTTACCGAACCTGGTAATAAAAATATAAAATTTGTAGAACAGAACCATTTACACCATTTGAAAAACAAACAGATTTGCGCCTTCAAATAATACTCAGCAGCCTGACATGTTCTTTTCTCTCTGAAATATTATTAACATACTTATTAATAGAGAACTCAACTTTGTGGGATTTTATCTTTATTCTCAGAATGTACGGATAAGGCAGAAATAAATGAAACTTTGAAGAACCCATTTCTTAATGATTTTTGTTCAGCGATAATCAGTCCTACACCAACTATGTAAATCATTTGTCTGTTTTGATTTTTTTCCTTCTACTATTTTTATTGCTCTGTTTCCCTAGGGAAATCTTGTTTTGTCTTTATACATTAAATACAAATGCTTTTTACTACTAAAACAAACAAAAACCCTCCAAATAGATGGAAGTACTTGTGAAATAGAAGATAAATTTCCCCTCTTATGGGACAATATGAAAGAAAATTGAAAGCAGTAAATGATTTTTAAGTGCTGGGGTGTAGAACCTTTTTATATTCCAGTTATCAGTTCAAGGTGGTCAGTAATGACTGGCTGCAAGTTAACACCATCGGGTAGTTTCGTAAATTGTATAAAACATCAGTTGTACCTTCTGATGGATTGTTTGCATATGTAGCATGGGAGGGGGTTATTGCCCATTGGCCAGGTAGTGAGAATCTCATCCGAATGAAAGTGTTGTTAAGGTTTCCTTCTTGAGTTAATTTCTTTAGAGAACTTAATAAGGCCCTGGACACAGAGAGGTCTTTCCGTTTTATTTTAGTAACGCTGGTGAGATGAGTTGAAGGTAGGCAGAGATTCTTAGTGTGTGAGAGTTAATGTTTATCAAAGGAATCTGTGACTTTCTAAATGTTGAGAAACTTTAAGTTAGCTAGATTTGAGACCTTGTCTCTAGTAATAAAACCTTAGAAACAAAACTAAAATGTAAAATTTGGTTAGGAAGTAAGAATTTGGACTATTTTACATCATAATACAGGATGGATCAAAAGTAGGTTTATAGTTGTATATGCAAAACACAGAGTTCATTCTTGTATTATTAAATTACTGTATTTCCATACAAACAACTGTAAACCTACTTTTGCCCAAATCCTGTATTTTGAGCTTGAAAACAGGGTCCATATATTTTTTGTATGCTCAGCACACTGCAGGTTTTAAGGAAGGCCATTTTAATATCCATTATATATGCTCAGGGCCAGAAAGGGCACAGAAATAAAATCACTTTAGATCTGGGCTGGTCCTTTTTTTTTTTTTTTTTTTAATTTTATTTAGTTATTTTTCAAGTACAGTTTTTTGTCTATTTCTCCCATCCCAGGCCCCCCCCCCCCCGCTTTCCACCTCCCTCCCATTTCCACCCCCCCTTAGTTCTCGTCCCTTTGTCCTTCCTATTTGTTCCTCCAAATCCCTCCCCTTTTTTCCCCTTAAATTCCCTTCCCTCTCCCCTCTGGTCACTGTCCCCTTGTTCTCTGGGCTTGTCCTTTTTTAATATGAGAATCTACAAGGGGAACAGTGTAGGGAGTTTTGATTTGTGGCCTTATCCTGGTTGGTGAAACTTAGGAAAATGTAATACCAATATATGTCTTTTTCTTTTAGCTTTAAGTTTTTTAAAGCTTTGGGTTGTAAGAGGTTTTTTTAAACTATATTTTATCAATCATGCTATTACAGTTGTCCCAGTTTTTCCCTTTGCCCCCCTCTGCCCGATACCCCCACTTCCTCCAGCAGTCCCCTCTTAGTTCATGTTTATGGGTCACACATATAAGTTCTTTGGCTTCTCCATTTTTTATACTGTTCTTAACATTCCCCTATGTTGTACCTACCATTTTGTACTTCTTAATCCCTTTACCTTTTCCCCTTTTTCCCTTTTCCCCTCCCAACTGATAACCCTCCAAATGATCCCATATCTATGCTTCTGTTCCTGTTCTACTTGCTCAGTTAGGTTTTTTTTTAGATTCAGTTGTCGAAGTTGTGAATTTGTTACATTTTTAATGTTCATAGTTTTGATCATCTCCTTTTTCTTAAATTAAGTCCCTTTAACATTTCATGTAATAATGGCTTGGTGATGATGAACTCCTTTAGCTTCACCTTGTCTGGGAAACACTTCATCTGCCCTTCCATTCTAAATGATAGCTTTGCTGGATAGAGTGAGTAATCTAGGTTGTAGGTCCCTGCTTTTTATCACTTTGAATACTTTTTGCCAGTCCCTTCAAGCCTGCAAAGTTTATCTTTAACTTTGGCATTTTAATTACGGTGTGTCTTGGTGTGGGCCTCTGCGTCAATCTTGTTTGGTACTCTGTGCTCCCTGGACTCTTATGTCTGTTTCTTTCACCAAATTAGGGAAGTTTTTTTTTTTCATTATTTTTTGAAATATGTTTTCTATTTCTTGCTCTTTGTCTTCTCTTTCTTGCACCCCTATGGTTCAGATGTTGGTATGTTTGAAGATGTTCCTGAAGCTTCTTACCCTCTTGGGTTGGTTTATTGTGGGTTTTGTTTTTTTTAGATTTTATTTATAAAATCTAATTTTTATTTATTTGTAGAGAGGGGAAGGGAAGAGGAAAGTAAGGGAGACAAACATCAGTGTTTAAGAGCTACATCAATTGGCTGCCTCCCACATGCCCCCAACCAGGGATCTGGCCTGCCTGCAATGCAGGCATGTGCCTTGACTGGGAATTGAATCAGTGACCTTTCGGTTTGCAGGTTGGTGGTCAGTCTAGTGAGCCACACCAGCCAGAACTTTTTAAAAACATTCTTTTATCTTGCTGTTCTGATTGAATGTTTTTCTGATTGAATGTTTTTTTCTTCCTTATGTTTCAAGTCATTGATTTGATTTTCAGGTTCATCCCCTCCACTGTTGGTTCCCAAATGAGATTTTCATTTCACTTAATGTAACCTTCACTTCTGCCTGCATCTTTTTTATGCTGTCGAAGTACCCAGTGAGTTCTTTGAGCATCCTGATCACCAGTGTTTTGAACTCTGTCTATGATAAATTGGTTATTTCCATTTTGTTTAGTTATTTTTTTGGAGTTTTCTTCTGTTCTTTCATTTGAGCCATATTTCTTCATCTCCTCATTTCGGCAGCCTCCCTGTGTTTGTTTCTGTGTATTAGGTAGAGCTGCTTTGACTCCCTGTCTTATTTGTATGGCCTGTTGTAGAAAAGTGCACCTGTAAGTCGTAGGGGGCAGAGCCTTGGGTAATTGGCAGGGTGGGGCAACCCACGTCACTGCTTTGTGGCTCTTCAGGGTGGAGGGTGGGCGCAGAGAGGGCCAATGCTGCTGCCTGGCCTCTGGAGGTTTACCCAGGAGGAAGCTCTCTCCCGGCACTTGCCCTGTTGCCAGTCAACTTCAATTTCCCCCTGTATGCCACTTGTGCCCTTCCAGCTATTTCCCTGGTGTTGAATCCCAGAGTTGTTCAGCATAAGTTCTAAGTCAGTTTTGGGTTCTTTAAGAGGTATCTTCTGAGAATCTGCAGTTTCTTCAGGTGTCCCAACCCCCACTGATTTTTATAGCTAGAAATTATGGGACTTACCTTCCTGGTGCTGGAACCCTGGGCTAGGTGGTCTTGTCTGGAGCTGGTATCCCTTGCTCCTGAGCTATTCCTCCCAATATTTATTGACCACACATGGACGTGGCACCGCGCATTCTGTGTCTCCATGCCTCTCCACACATCTCCGCATCTCTGTCCCACCTACCTGTCTGGATGAATGTGGCTTCTTTATTTTTTTGAGGACTCTATTAATTTTTCATTTTTAGAGAGATGGGGAAAGAGAGGGAGCAAAACGTTTATTGGTTGGCCCCCTGCACACCAACTGGGGACCTGGCCCACAACCCAGGCATGCGCCCTGACTAGGAATTAAACCTGTGACCCTTTGGTTTGCAGGCCAGCACTCAATCCACTGAGCCACAGTGGCCAGAGCTGAATGTGGCTTCTTGAAGTCCTTGGTTGTTGGACTTCCATGCAGCTTGATTTTCTGACAATTTTGGGTGATAAGTGTTTCGTAGTCTAGCTATAATTTTTGTTATGGTTGTGTTGAGGAGGTTAGGTGTGTTTACCTATGCCTCCCGTCTTGCCTAGAAGTCAAGAGTTATTGTGATTAATTTTATCTATAGTGGATTCCCAGTTTTAAAATCAGACTTCAGCCCTGGCTGGTGTGGCTCTGGATTGAGTGATGGCCTGTGAAGCAAAGGGTTGCTGGTTCAATTCCCAGTCAGGGCTTATGCCTGGGTCACAGGCCGGGTCCTTGGTGTGGGGCGGGTGAGAAGCAACCACAGATTGATGTTTCTCTCCCTTTCTCTCTCCTTCCCTTCCCCTCTCTCTAAAAATCAATGAAACCTTACAAAAATAAAACCAGACTTCAGTTTTAGTTTTTAGGCAAACGTATGTGGCATATATTTTTGCTAGTTCCAATGGTCTTTGCCTCTGTTAACAGAAGTAAGCCTCAACATTTGTCATTCTGAATTTCATGGATTTGGAGATAGAGTTTAAATTTGGCCCTCTTTGGTCTTGGTTTTTAAAAAGACAGTTTTATAAAAAAGTTTTTATGAAGTAAATGAATATTTGGCAAAATGCAGAATATACTTTTTTTGTACAGAGAACGTCTTTTTAGCAAAACTGTTAAATTATTCATTAAAATAGCCATATATTGATTTTTAGTACAGTGACATTTTAATAGTTTTGAACCCAGGGCATTTTCAGTATCATAAATATGCATAAGGTAAGAGTCAAGGTTCCACTGATCTTCTTAGAAATTGCATTAATCACAATCATAAAGTCTTTTGATTTTTAAAAGGAAAGAATCTATTCTAAATCCTGAAAAGGTAAAGACAACACATTTATTCAGCTTGTGTTTAGGATTTTACAGTTGATTTTTCATCGACTTGTATTCTGCTTTCTTCCAAATAATTTGCCTTATAATCTAGCTCATGATATTCAGAACCCCCATGTGATTTCCTTCCCTAATTTGTTAAATGTAATTCACCATATCCCCCCACAATTAGATTTATGTAACTTTTTAAAAGAAGATTGTTTTAATTTATTTTTTAGAGAGAGGGGAAGGGAAGGAGAAAGAGGGAGAGAAACATTACTGTTTGTTTGTCTCTCGCGTGTTCCCCACTGGGAACCTGGCCCACAACCCATGAATGTGCCCTGACCAGGAATCAAACTGGTGACCTTTTGGCTTGCAGGTTGGCACTTAGTCCACTGAGCCACACCAGGCAGGGCAGATTTATGTAACTTTTAAAGAGCAAGGCTAATGTTTCATTGAGAAAAGAATGTTAATTCTCTTTCACTGGGACTATATTTGGATTTAACAAATTATATGCATTTTATAAAAGTTTATTGTTTTACAAATATATAAGACAGCTAATTTTGGTAGTCTGCTGAAAAAAAAGAAAAAGATGTTACTCTTACCAGTGAAAAGTAATCCCAGGATCAGAGTTAAAATTAATGCTTCAGAAAAGCTAACACCTAGGAAAATGTCTTTTACTAAAGGAGCAAAATTTTTGGACTTAAAAAGCTACATTTTAAAATGGGAATCATGTATCCTGGACTCATACTGAAACTGAGAGAATTCAAGAATTACAAATTAAGCATTCAAAAATATCTTGGATACCTTACTAAGAACGTATTAGCTCTCAGAACTGGTCTTTACAAAACACTGATAATCTTCCAAGTATTTTCTCTATCATTAGTGTTGATTTATATACCATTAAACTGGACTATGACCCATAAGGAAATGTATTGTTTTTAATATAATTCATGCTTGTGCGATTCGATATTCTGGTTCAGTGAAACACAATCCACTAGATAATGAAATTCACTGGGCAAGGGATACATCTATGTAAAGTGTAGGTGCTGTATGCCCTCTAGAATTCCTCCAGTTATGCATTGTAATGTTTTGACTAATCTATCACTTGACTGATCCAAAATGTCTTTCTAGCGACCAAACCATTAAGTGCAGTGTTACCACAGCTTAGCCAAAAATTCCAAAAAGTTTATTTCTAATGACTTCCGCTACAGCCTGACAAATTTAAAGGCAAACCAGAACTTTTGCTCAAACCTTCACAGTTTGAGAATAGAAACATACGCAGTGCTGTGTTTGACAATAAAATATTTTTAAAGGTCTAACTTGGAGTTCAAATGTGAAATTTGATTAGAATTTCTAATAAGCTTGAGTTGTTTTTGAAAAGTTTCAAATTCCTCACAGGGTGCTCAGTCTGGGAGTGTCTGACACCAGAGCCCCGGTGGCTGTGGCAGTGCATGGGAGTGGCGCGGGAGCGGCTGCGGTGTAGAGAAAGCGGGGTAGAGAGTGTGGGTTTATAAGTGCTGAAATCTTTATGGACTCGGTGAATGCTTTTGGTCAGTACAAGGATGATGATGACGACAATGACAGAGTTGAGCCTGAAGAGAGAACAGATCTGGTGGAGGACTGAGATAATAAAGAAAGCCACCCAGCTTGGAAGTTTCCTGCTGACAAATCTGTTCAATGTGTTTGGAGGGATCAGAGCCTGCATTCATCTCACTTGCTCTTCTGTAGGTGATGTTTCAGGTGTCGATTGCTTGCTAAACCTTTTTCATGCAACGCGCAACACAAGCAGAATACAGAAATGACTGGACAGCAAACCTGAAGGACCAGTGCTAACAGCATTTGGAGGGAGCAAAGGAGTTCACTGCCACCCTCACTGCCTATCGCATCAAGATGTCAACCCCCCCAAGCTCCCGGGAGGCCATGGAGCAGGGGCAGCTTCCAAACAGCAGTAGCAAGCCCAGCACCCCCCACCATCAATGTGCTGGAGTCAAAGGACATGGACAGGACAGGTGGTGAGAACAATGAAGAGAAAAAAGATGAAACTTCCAGTTCCTCTGAAGCGAAATCTCAGTGTCAGATGCCAATAAAGATGAAGTCAAACAGCAAGCATGTCCCCCCCACCTGCCACCACCAGAATGTGTAGTGGAGGGTCTGAGGCCTTCGTGTTCCTAGTCCTCATCGGCACCTACTACAACCACCATTGCCAAGTTAATCGGGGCCAAAACATGTAGATAGGTATATGACTTTAGGGTCAGAGAGTCCAGTATCATAGCTACAGCTCCCACCGAGGATGTCAACACTGCAAGAAGAGGAAACACAGGTTGTGGGCTACACACTGTGGAAAGACAGCTGAAAAACGATCGCTCTTCTAACCACATTTACAAGTACCAACCCTGTGACCATCCATGGCAGCCTTGTGACAGTTCATGCCTTAGCATGATAGCACAGAATTTTTGTGAAGTTTTGTCAGTGTAGTTCAGAATGTCAGAATCGCTTTCCTGGCTGCTGCTGGAAAGTGCAGAGCAACCCCAAGCAGTGCCCATGCTACCTGGCCGTCCCAGAGTGTGACCCCGACCTGAGTCTCTGATGTGTGGAGCTGCTGGCCACTGGGGACAGCAAGAACGTGTCCTGCAAGAACTGCAGCATCCAGCGGGCTCCAAGAAGCATTTATTGCTGGCACCATCTGATGTGGCATTTTCATCAAAGATTCTGCACAGAAACATGAATGCACCTCAGAGTTCTGTGGAGAGAGAATTTCTCAAGATGAAGCTGACAGAAGAGGGAGACTGTGTGATAAATACATGTGCAGCCTTCTCTATTGATTTTCTGGTGGACGTAAGCCGCAAGGGTAACAAAATTTGTTTTGCAGATCAGTCAGTCCAAACTGCTATGCAAATGTCATGATGGTGATTACAGGATAGGGATGCTGGTGTGGAGAGCCATCAGATTGCTGAAGAGCTGCTTTTTTATTACAGACATAGCCAGGCCAATGCCCTGACATACCTGGGCAGAGAACAAGACATGGAGATCCCTTGACATCTGCTACCTGTTCCCCTGTCGTCCTCTGGAATAGTTGCCTTAGCTTCAGGAACTTCCAGTACTGTGGGCAATTTAGAAAAAGAAATTGCAGTTTGAAATCCTGAATTTGCAAAGTAATGGAAGAACAATATATAGTAATGAGTTTAAAAATCAACTTTTAATTGCCTTCTCACCAGCTGCAAAGTATTTTGTACCAGTGAATTTTTGCAATGATGAAGTGTGGTACATTTTTCAACTTTGACTAAAGAATACTTGAACTTTAAAAGTATGAAATTTCTCATATATTTAATAGTACTTATACATCTATAAACTTGAAATTGCTTCACAGCTCACTTGCCCCTAGGAGTGAAGGCACAGAGATTAGCAGGTTTTCTGTTGGGAGCAGGTCAGTGGGCTAACCATACTTTCTCAGTGAATGTCATTTTCTGCATCAGTCTTTTTGCAGACCTGGACCCAGCCCCATGGACTTGGATGATTGTTATTAACTGTGTGCAGTTCTTTAAAATAATCACACAAGGCGTTTTCTTTTTCCTTTCAGGTCTTCTGCCTTTCTTGTATAAATGTGGAGTGCTCTTATTCTACCTTTGACTTGCATTACTCCAGGTTCACAGGTTCCTGAAGAGTGCTGGTAATCTAGTGTGTTGACTGCTGCCAGATCCTCTGGGAAAGAGATGGCCTCGGTGTATTAATAAGCAAGCAGAACCTATTGAAAATGGGAGTTTAAAAATTTAATCATACTTGATTATTTGTCCTCTAAAAGGGACATGAAAACAAAAGCACAGAATTGGAAATTAACTGTGGAGTAAAAGGAAAGGAAGACATGGAATGGGAATAGGCATATTGACTTGTAAAATGAGAAAACCTTTTAAATAAATTGGACAAAAAATAGAAACCAAATGACAAGTAGAAATCAAGCCCTGGCTGGCATGGCTCAGTGGACTAAGCACTGGCCTGGGGACCGAAAAGTTGCCAGTTTGATTGCCCATCAGGGCACGTGCCTGAGCTGTGGACCAGACCTCCCGTGGGGGGCATGTGAGAGGCAACCAGTCAGTGTTCCTCTCACGCATTAGTGTTTCTCTCCCTCTCTTCCTCCTCCCTCTGTAAAAATAACATTTTCTTTTTAATGGAAAAGGATCAGATAAGTCAAAAATGGCTGGAAAAAAGGTTAGGAGCAGGAAAGAAACGAGGCAAAATATTAAGATTTTAGGCTTTAACATTTTCTCAAGTTGAAAATTTACCCAATGTTACATATGTCATAGGTAAACCTTGGTCATTTAGAAGTTTGTTGGATATAACTTAGGAGGAAAAAATTCCTCCTAAGTTATAAATTCCAAAACTTAGTTGTGCTATACAAATATTAGTATAATCAAATAATAAGGTGGTCTTAAGTGTCTTCAAAAATTACATTATTTTCTACCTTTTAGGATTGTGCACTTTTAATTTCCAGTGGTGCTGTATTACTGTTGCTCCGAAATTGGAAGGAAATTAGAATTTTGAAGCACATTTACTTTTTATCTTTCTTTTTTAAAAGTATATTTTATTGATTATGCTATTATAGTTGTCCCCTTTTTTCCCCTTTATTCTCCTCTGCCCTGCACCCCCCCACCAGCATTTCTCCCCTTAGTTCATGTTCATGGGTTGTACATGTAAGTTCTTTGGCTTCTCTATTTCCTGTACTATTCTTAACTTTCCCGTCTATATTGTACCTACCATTTATGTTTCTTATTCCCTGTACCTTTTCCCCCATTTCCCCCCTCCCTTCCCAGTGATAACCCTCCATGTGATCACCATTTCTGTGGTTCTGTTCCTGTTCTAGTTGGAACAGGTAGTAAGCTGTGTGGAAATGCCTGATTTAGTTATATTTCCAGTTCTACTTAAATTCTCTCAAAATTAAGAGTGAAGAAATTACCTTTAAAGGTTAAATTTTTAATAAATGGATTATGTAACTTTAAAAATAATTCTCACCTGAGGTTATGTTTATTGATTTAGAGAGAGAGGAAGAAGGGAGGGAGAAAGACATTGATGTGAGTGAAAAATATTGGTTGGTTGCCACTCATATGTTCCCAACCGGGGTCAAACCCGTAACCTTAGGTATGTGCCCTGACCGGGGATCGAATCTGCCACCTTTTGGTGTACAGGATGACAGTCAACCAACTGAACCACCTGGCCAGGGCTGGGTTATGTAACTTTTTGCCAGTGAAGGGAGAAACGTGGAATTTTTGCTCGATGGTAATGGCTAGCTATTATTTATTTGACTTAGTGTTGTATTTACAGGACCCACATTCAAAATTAATAGTTTCTCACATGTTGTCTTTAACTACATGCATATGTGCATGCACACAATTACACTAGACTGAAAGATTAAAGGAGGAAATGGCCAATTTAAAATTTTCAGATCACTGTTTTTAAGAGGTATTATATGCTTTCATTTTGTTTTCAGGGTAGGGCCAAATACTTAAAATTTTAAGGTATCAAAGCAAGAAAAGTGAATATAAGCTTTCTAAGTTTTAAACAAGACAGCTTTTTAATGGCATGAAAGGATAAGAACAGTCGTTCAGAATGTGAAATAAATGTTATTCTTTCCATATCATTTGAGAGCACCTGATACACAGATAGTTTAACTGTTACATGAGTGAATGGTGGCAGAAATGCTTCCTCTATGAAAAGGTGAGCCACACATTTCTTTTTTGATAACTCTGATTATTAATGTATTTTAAATTATTTTACTCACACATAGAAGGTTTTCAGCCCTCTGCCTTTTGTTTTGAAGCAGAGTATATTTGTAATTACTTTGTGCAAAATTATCAGAGGAGTATTAATTCTATGTTTCTATAATGAAAGAAGTTATGCTTTTTGATATTACATGGTTTTAGAGGAAATTTGCCATAATACCTAGTTCTGGGAGAAGGTCAAGGTAGATCTAGAACTTCTGGCCTTGGCAGGGAGAAGGAGGAGCTAGATTTTTTTGGTTAGAAGATATTTCATGTTATAACTGGTTATCTCAAATGGCGCAACTTCCACCGTCATGAGCTTAGAGGTAGAACAGACTGGATACAGATATGTACCTTTGATTTGAACTTGAACACGGAGTTGAAGTGAATCTTGGAAACCCTTTGGAACCCAAGTTCCCAAGGAGTAAATCAAATGAATGGAGAAAAGGACAAAGAAACCAGAAGGTTGGGTATAAAATGAAAGGCCAGTGACTTTAAGAAGCAGTTAAACTGGCCCAGTTTGATGCGATCTGCAAGAGCCTGGGGTTGGAAGAGGGAAGGCTGTTACAGGCCATTCTCCTAGACCTTGTGTGACGCTGGAATCCCTCCCCAGTGCTCCTGATCGGTGGTCACACTTGGACTACCTCCAGTGGCAGGGTATTCACTGACTCCAGAGGTAGATAGTTCCTGACTTGGGAAAATAGGTACCCATCCTTTTTTTTTTTTTTTTTTACTGTAGTCCCTGTAAAAAAGCTAAGTACAGACAGAAGCTCACTGTTGTATGTTGAATATGTATACATGCTTTCCCCTGCATATACTACTGACTGAACAGTTCATTTTTATTTTTTGAGAATATTCTATATACTTTTCTGTTTTTGTCATTTCAAATTTTGAATGTCTGTGTTAGTGCATATAGATTAACCATTTTTTAATATTTTATTGATTACGCCATTACAGTTGTCCCATTTTCCCCCCTTCACTCCCCTCTGCACTGCACAGCCCCTCCCACCCACATTCCTCATTAGTTCATGTTCCCCCCCCTTTACTTCATGTCTATGGGTCATACATATAAGTTCTTTGGCTTCTGCATTTCCTATACTACTCTTAGCTTTCCCCTATTTTCTACCTAACCATCTGTGCTACTTATTCTCAGTATCTTTTCCCTCCTCTTTCCCCCTCCCACTCCCCTGTTGATAACCCTCCATGTGATCTCCATTTCTGTAGTTCTGTTCCTGTTCTAGTTGTTTGCTTAGGTTGCTTTTGTTTTTATTTTAGGTGTGGCTGTTAATAACTGAGTTTGTTGTCATTTTACTGTTCATATTTTTTATTTTCTTTTTCTTAGGTAAATCTGTTTGACATTTCATATAAGGGCTTGGTGGTGATGAACTCCTTTAACTTGACCTTATCTGAGAAGCACTTTATCTGCCCTTCTATTCTAAATGAAAGCTTTGCTGGATGGAGCAATCTTGGATGTGGGTCCTTGCTTTTCATGACTTCAAATACTTCTTTCCAGCCCTTTCTTGCCTGTAAGGTCTTGTTTGAGAAATCAGCTGACAGTCTTATGGGCACTCCTTTGTAGGTAACTGTCTCCTTTTCTCTTGCTGCTTCTAAGATTCTTTCCTTATTTTTAAACTTGGGTAATGTAATTATGACGTACCTGGGTGTGTTCCTCCTTGGGTCCAACTTCTTTGGGACTCTCTTGAGCTTCCTGGACTTCCTGGAAGTAAATGTCCTTTGCCAGATTGGGGAAGTTCTCCTTCATTATTTGTTCAAATAACTTCTTGTTGCTCTTCCTCTTCTCCTTCTGGCACCCCTATAATTTGGATGTTGGAACATTTATAGATGTCTTGGAGGTTCCTAGCCTCTCCTCATTTTTTGAATTCTTGTTTCTTCGTTTTTTTCTGGTTGGATGTTTGTTTCTTCCTTCTGGTTCACACTGTAGTTTTGAGTCCCAGTTTCCTTCCCATCACTAATGGTTCCCTGTCCATTTTTCTTTATTTCACTTAGCATAGCCTTCATTTAACCAATTCTGTGAGCATCCTGATTACCAGTTTTTGAACTGTGTATCTGATACATTGGCTATCTCTTTGTCCCTTAGTTGTATTTTTTCTGGAGCTTTGATCTGTTCTTTCATTTTGACCATTTTTTGGTCTTGAGCACCTGTTGCGTAGTGAGGGGCAGAGCCTTAGGTGTTCATCAGGATGGCAACCCATGTCGCTGGGTTATGATGCTGTTTGTGGGGGCGGGGTCTGAGGGAACAATGCCGCTTGCTCTGTTCTCTACTGGATTTCAGTCACTTCCCCTACTACCCACAAGCAAAGTGGGCCCTTCTGGTGCTGATTCCCGGGTGGGTGGGCTTGTGTATATTCTAGGACCCTGTGGGTCTCTCCAACAAACTTGCCCGTGAGGCTAGGAGTTTCTCCCACTGCGCCTCAACCCCCACCAGTGCTTTCATTCAGTGGTTTGAGGCTTCATTTCTCTGTGCTGGAGCCCTGGGTTGTATGGTCTGTCTCACCCCCCAGTTGTTCCTCCTGGTTTATTTGCACAAGAATGTGGAACCACCTGCTCCACCAGCTGCCGCTTCCTGGGTCCACCAGCTGACACCTTGCTGTGAGTCCTCTCTGACTGGCTGCCTGTCTCTGCCCCTCCTACCAGTCTGGATGATGTGTCTTTAATTCCTTGGCTGTCGGACTTCCATACAGTTTGATTTTCTGTCAGTTCTGGTTGTTTTTTGTTTTTAAATTGTCCCTCTTTTGGTTGTGCAAGGAGGCACAGTGTGTCTTTCTGTGCCTCCATCTTAGGTTAACCATTCTTTTTAATGGCTACTGCATATGGTCTATATCTGTTTATGCAACCAGTGCCTTACTGATACTTGAGTTGTTCCCAGTTTTTGTGCTCTTACAGATAATAGTGCAGTGAACATCCATTATCTTCTTGACATTTCTAATTACAAAGCTTTTTTATTTGTGTTGTCCTAAAATCCTTCTTCTAACTTCTACTTAATTGGTTCTAAAACAGTTGCCATCTTCTTGAGACATGGTCTGTTTTGTCCGTGTCTAAAGTGTAGTGATGGAGCTGAACAGTCTTAGTTGTGGTTTTACCCTAATAGATAGTGTGGGATTGTCTATTTTAATTCCATCATCATTTTATTAACTCTTAAGGCCATCATATCACACACTATTAGTTCATGTTGAGGACAGAGTCAGTTAAGAGTTTATGTTTGTAGTTTGTGGATCTCTGGAGTATCTGATGAAAGCTGTGGACTTATCACCACTTCATTCTACCCCTCAAATGCATTCACAAAATTATTTCTGTAGTTTTATGTGATTCATGGGTCTTCAGTGTTCCCCATTTCTTTATGATTAGATTTTGTTGATTACTTTGCTGAAGTCATAGGTTCTCTCATTCTCTACAAGTGCTGTTACATAGTCAAAAATTTAATTGGAAATGGTCAGGTTTGGAATTGCCCGGTGAGTGTGTGCTATCTGCTAGTGTGTAGCACTTTCTTATTTGCAAGTGCTAACTAATTTTTTTAACAATCCAGGATCAGCCTCAAGCTAACCAGTCTGTAGTTGAGGAATCTGTCTGGTTTCTAGTCCTTGCCCATTCTTCACGATTCCACACAGGTTACGGACAGCCATTAAGCAGCCTTATCTGTGGAGCCTCTCAGGATCCCGGGATGTGATTTGTGAGATCAAATGACTTGAACTCGGGATATCTAGCTGTTCTTTCTTTTTTTTTTTCCTCAGCCATCTTGGATTTAAGTTTCTTCTTAGTCACTGTATTTGATCTTCAGATTGGGAAGAATAAAACATTCTCAGCTGAGAATGGAAATAAAATAGGAGTAAGGCTGTTTGTCTTTGTTAATATTACATTAACCACCCCATCCAGGGGAGACTTCACTTTTTCCTCTACCTCTTTTTACTTTAACCTCTAAAGTGCTGTCTATTCAGTATCTGGTACTTTGGAAAGTCACAGTTCATTCAGAGGTTTTAGCCTTGTTCACAATATTCTTAGAACTCCATTCCACTAATACTTGTGTTATGTGCCTGCTTTTTTTTCACCATCTGTTTTAAGTGGGTTTTTTTTTTTAATATCTAAATTCCAGAAAGCTCTCTGTGCAGCACATCAGATTTTTTAGACACTTTGCCTTCTCTTCCCCTCATCAGTATGTTTTACAATTATGCAGTCAGCAGTGCCTTTGAGAGCCTTCCCATAGTTTCTGAGTTTGGAATTGGTCCTAATTTTCCTTTGAAAAACTCGAAATCTGCCTATCCAATGTGTGCATCATTTTCCTTCCTTCCTTTCTTGATCTCCAAGCAACACGGCTGCTTTCTCTAAAGCGTCCTTCTACTTGTAATGCTATTAATCATGTTTTTTTAAAGATTTTTATTTTTGAGAGAGGGGGGAAGGGAGAGACACAGAGGGAGAAAAACATTGATGGTTGCCTTTTGCCTGCCCCCACCCAGGGACCTGGCCTGCAACCCAGGCATGTGCCCTGACTGGGAATCGAACTGACAACCTGTTGGTTTGCAGGGCGGCCTGCGCTCAGTCCACTGAGCCACACCAGGCAGGGCAGGATATATGTTTACAATGGCAAGGTCTGGGTGCTCTCCCTCTCGGGAGCGTGCCCCTCACCTTTTCCTCCCCCCCTTCCTCTTCCCAAGCATCTTGCCTTTGTCTTTCTCTTTCCTGAGCTCCAAGGTCTCCCTTCTTTTGCCTCTGTAACTTGTTTCCTTAGGCCATTTTCTTCTGTGGCTCACTTTCACTACCTCTGTAACTTTCTAAACAAACGCTCTCTTAGAATTAGAAAGATAAATAAAATGGCAAGACTCTTTTTATGAATATGATGCAGGCTTTTTTTGCTTGTTCTTTACTTTGTTACCTCTTTCACAAAGTACCCACTTGGTTGTTTTGGACCAGTTTGAAATGTTCTGTATCTAAAGTTCTACAACACTCACAGATGCACCGTAGTGCTTCATACCTAATGTCAGCTGCCTTGCTTACTTATTGGTGAATGTGTATGTTTTCATTTCCCCAAATATTTTGTAAGTTCTCTGAAGAAACAGACCATATCCCATGCTTGTTTTTTACCTCCCTGTAGCATTAGCACAGTACTTAAGATCTGTGCTTCATAAGGTCTCAGTAATCACCTTAATTACATAGTTCTAGCTCTAGAAATAAAGTGAAAAAATGGACCTTTCCTTGTCAACTGAATTATTGCCATAGTAGTTGATGATACCAGACCAAGTTTTATGTGAAAAACCTACTGAGAATTTTGTGGATATTTACATTTTTACTAACTCACTAACTTAATTCCCCAAATTATTTAGCTATGGTTGTGCTTACACTGTTCCTTGTGGTTAAGAAAACCATGGGCATGTTTTTCTCTACTGTGAAACCTCTGTTTGTTCTCCTAGCCACTACCAGGGCCTGACATAATAATAGGTGATTAATACATTTTGTTAGAGGAATTTAGCTTGTGCTCAGAAAGTAACTTCTTTACTGTAAAAACCTTGGAAGTGTGCATAGGTTATTATAAATCTAGATTGCAAAAGGAAATGTGATAAAAAGCCTTTTTAATAGTTTGTGAGCTTAACAGGAAAAGCAATTCTAGTAAAGTAAGTCTAAAATCTTAACACTAACCATCGTAGTGGGCTTTGATGTTTTATTTGCCATTGATGTTATTTATTTTAGTTAAATTCTTTTACTTTTTTTCTTAGGTTAAGACATCAGAATTTTATAGATACTCTCGACAGCTGCGCTATGAAGTTGACCAAGCATTGAATTACTTTCAGAACATTCACCAGCAGCCTTTGTTGGACATGAAATCAAGCCGCATCCGCTCTGCCAAACCTCAAACTACAGTATTCCGAGGAATGATTGGACATAGCATGGTTAACAGTAAAATACTTCTCTTAAAGAAACCAAGAGTTTGGTGGGAACTAGAGGGCCCCCAAGTACCTCTGCGGCCGGACTGCCTTGCTATTGTCAATAACTTTGTATTCTTGTTGGGTGGTGAAGAATTGGGCCCAGATGGCGAATTCCATGCCTCTTCCAAAGTGTTCAGATATGACCCGAGACACAACTCTTGGCTCCGGATGGCAGACATGTCTGTACCACGTTCAGAATTTGCAGTTGGTGTTATTGGGAAGTTTATTTATGCTGTAGCAGGCAGAACCAGAGATGAGACTTTCTATTCAACAGAGAGATACGATATCACCAATGATAAATGGGAATTTGTGGATCCTTATCCAGTGAACAAATACGGACATGAGGGGACAGTGCTCAATAACAAGTTGTATATCACTGGTGGAATCACCTCATCATCCACCTCCAAACAAGTGTGCGTTTTTGACCCCAGTAAAGAAGGGACCATAGAACAACGGACCAGAAGAACCCAAGTTGTTACCAACTGCTGGGAGAATAAGAGCAAAATGAATTACGCAAGATGCTTTCACAAGATGATTTCTTACAACGGCAAGCTTTATGTCTTCGGTGGTGTCTGTGTGATCTTGAGGGCCTCTTTTGAATCTCAGGGCTGCCCTTCCACAGAAGTGTACAACCCAGAGACTGATCAGTGGACCATCTTGGCATCCATGCCGATTGGTAGAAGTGGCCATGGAGTGACTGTGCTGGACAAACAAATAATGGTTCTCGGAGGCCTTTGCTACAACGGTCATTACAGCGATTCCATTCTCACTTTTGATCCAGAAGAAAACAAGTGGAAGGAAGATGAGTACCCGCGGATGCCCTGCAAGCTGGATGGTTTACAAGTATGCAACCTGCATTTTCCAGAATATATACTGGACGAGGTCAGACGCTGCAACTAATGACGTCTTTCTTGCTTCAAAGCCAAACAAAAAATTTGTTTGTGACAGAGTAGTTAATTAACAGCATAAAGAAAAACCTCACCAGTTTTACTATCAAAGCCATTGGTCTAATAGTGTAAAAAATTTTCATTCTGTGCTAGCATACTTTGTTTTCTTTTTAGTGGCCTCAAACTCATGCAATAAGTTAGTTCTAAGCACTAGCTCTTGAAACTACTTCCTGAAGCAGTTTAATAGAATGATCCACTTATCTGGGAAGCTGATTGTATGCTTTAAACATTTCTCTCAGATGTCAATGTAGGAGTCATGCATCTTCTAAGAGAAGACCTGATAAGTGTCACTTGATGTAATTTCAGTTCCTATCTCGATCTGAAATCTTTCTGAACATTTATTTCAGTCCGTTAGACCTTTTGGTTTTATTGTTTAAGTTTAAAACTCTTGCCCTTTTTGCATGGCTTTTTGCTGAAAATGCAAAAATATAAATTTTCTACAAAGTTAACTTTTTATATTCAAAACACTATTTCTAAGCTGCCTTCTCTTACCTGCATTGTGTTAGTGAAAGCGTATCCATATGTGCATACATCTTATGAATATATAAGGCACATCCTCTTTTATGCGTGGTTAGGATTCTATATTTTTAAGCTAGTGCACTTGCACACACGGTTTGCCATACTTGTTGAATTTTAGATGTAATGTCTTTTCATGTATTAACATTTTTAGAAAGTTAAAATAACTGGAGTCCTCATTTGATGTCAAAAGTAGCCTATCTTCAGTCCATACTGATTCAGCAATAGTTTGAACTCCTTATATTCCTGAAACATGTATGGACTTAGGAAAATGAATATTTTATATTTTACTTTCAGAAGTAAACATTAGTGTTCTTTATCGATGTATGTCTTCTTTTTGAACATGTTTTTTCTTTGCAGTTTGTTTAACGTTACCCTGTTTTTAGTAAGAATTGGAGTGCTATATGACAAGCCCTGGCCCTGCAGCGTGCAAGCACTTTTTAAAGAGAATTTAGGTAATGCCAGACTGCTAAATAAAGGCCCCTTAAAAGTAAGTGCAACTTCCATTCTTTCCATTTAATAAGGCTGCTGCATCTGTTACTGAATGGAAAGTAGCAACTTTTGGACAATTTGAGCTCAGTTTTGACTTAGAGGTAAGGAATAGAATTATAATCTGACTGGTCATATCTACTTGTTTATTTAGTACAAAAAAAACTTAGCAGCACTGGGGATGGAAGCCCTCAGCTTTGGTTTTATTTACTGGAAGCTACTAGTATGAAGGACAGTAGCCTCAAAGTTGAGAATGGAGGGAGAATAACTGTTTGAAACCATTTGTACTAAGTGTTTTAGGATTAGCTGCACCTTTCAACTCAAAGGAGAAAAACATGTAGTGGACAAAGTTAAGCAAGAATAACCAGGAAATGGCTCATTCAAATCGAGGCCATTTTTTCCTGAGTAGAGTCTACAGCTGATACAGACTAGATCTACACTGGCAAAACTTGCCAGATCTTAGGATATTGGTGCAATATTGCAATGCCTTCTGTATGGCTATTGTATAAATTTTCTAGTTTCACTTTTTTTTGCTGCTGCCACCACTGAACATAAGATAGAAGAGTGAAGTCATGGAAATGTGAAGACTTTTGGGGTTTGGGGTTTTTTTTGCAGTTAAATGAGACAACTATTTAAAAAGACACCCTGGTTTTAAAACTCCAAAGCTGGAGGCATTTGGGTTTAAGAAACAATCAGATACACAAGTAGTTTTTGAAAAAGAAAAACATTGGCATTGGTTTTAGAAGTCAAATCAGTGTTCTTTCGTATATGAGACTTAAATTTGTGTTAAATGATTGTCATTTACTTCTGATTTTAATAATGAAACTTGATATCATTTCCCATGGTCATGTGGGTAAAAGTCTTTTTCTACATTTAAAAAATCATTTCTAATCATTTTACTTTTGAAAAGTAGGCTTAACTTAGTCATTTGATTCTTTTTCTAATATGTTAGGTGGTTTAGCTTTTGTGCGTCTGCTGTCTTGCTCTCAAAAAAATAACAATAACGTCTTCATTATTTTCCTCGTTGTCTTTTGCTGGGAAAGACCGAGGCAGGGTGCCCTTCATCAGGCTTTTATACTCCAGTGGTGGTTCTCTTTAATTGCTTAGATATGACTTCAGAGCCCTAGTTAAGGTGAGATCTGGGCAGACAATTGAAATTCTTGGTCTTCCATTCTAAAGACAGAGGCCAAGGTCAAAATGCATTTTTTGGAAAAATTCGTGAAATGTTAACTTGAACTAACTCTGGGTTCAGCTTCACACTTTATTCATGTCTTACCTGATGTGAGCTGTGATCAGTTTTGAGCTTTAAGAATAGTTGCTGTCGCTTGGGTTCTTTATGAATGTATGAGAAGATTCTTCTGTTTATATGTAGCGCTAATTTAGGTTCTTTTAAATCCATGATAACTTACATTCCCTTTTCAAGTTATGGTGTAATTGCTGAAAGAGATTTATTTTTGTTATACTAAACTATGGAAAATTTTTCATAGATGTTTTTCAAGTTTATTTTTTGTGTGCTTCATTTGGAACCATTTTTGTTTATATACATTGTACGTGTTCAAGATAGTAGTTCTTAAAAATTCAGTAAGAGATTTGAAACCATTCAGCGCAACTGTTGTAATCTTTGTGTTACTTTTCACTTTACATTTTAAATGCCAGACTACAAAATTAGCTGATCTTTATTAGTTGCATCTTAATTAGAAATGTTTGTTCTCTCCATGTCTTTGACCTAAGTTTTGACTTTAATCTGCTTAAAGAAAATTCTTGCACTACAACCTTTTCATAAAACTCAAGATTGTCTCATTGAAGGTTTTGTATTGGAAGAAATACTACTGGTTTTTTAAAAGCAAAGCTTAAGTAATAGAATTATTAGCTTTTCTTGAGACAGCTTTCTCTGTGTCCTCATTACTCTGCTCTGTGTGTTACTATAATTTGTGAAATATTGACTGAGCCCTTCACTTACCTTTTCTAAAGCAGCACCTTTGGACACCTCATTCTGGGAAGCCTGCTCCAGTCATAGTAAAGGACACACATTTGTATGGGGATAAGTGGTTAAAATGGAGAGTTTTGTCTTAATTACAAGAAACTAAGCTTTAAAATATTTTATAACAAATTATTTGAGCTGCATTATCTAAACATGTCAAACGTTCAGTGGGACTATTTTTATATATGTATATGTGGTTGTAGGTCATAACATTTCAGTTTATAATATAAATCGTTATTTCAGTTTATAAGCTATCTCTCAAAAAAGACTAGCTCTTTTGAGAATACATAATTTAAAGTTTTAGATTGAAGTGAAACACAACATAGATCATAGTGAAATTAGATATAATGGAGGGCTATGTAGCAGTGAAAACTGCTAGTGCCATTTCTCTCGTTTGCCTATTACACATTTTTGATTTTTTTTTGTACTCAACATTTTTAGGGATCATACATTTGTTCGATTGGGTTAGAGTTGGTTTGGGAATAAATATCTTCTAAAAAGAGATTTATCTTAAAAGCAAAAGTCCTGAAAAACTAGTTTGTCAAGAGTTTCTAAAGCCAGATATTCAGCACACATAGACAGAAACAGGTAAACACTCGTGGAAGTCCTGTCCTTTCAGTACATCAGTACAGCCTCACGGTTACATGAGTAACACTGAGAGAGTCCCGTCAGCTTTGTTTGTTCCCCCTTAACATTCTTGGATTTTTTTTTTTTTACATCTTTGGGAACAATTGCATTAAAAACCTTATTAATCAGTATATGAGTAAGGATGAAGAGTTTGCTTTCAGAAGGAATGTTCCAGTGAGGTGATTGGAGAGGTTATTTTCTACCTAACTTGTATATGCCCTATACCTCATGGGCATACTTTGTTTATTAGAAAAATATTTTGACATTTAGGTACATTTTGGGCCGATAGTCAAATTAATCCTAGGGCCGATTTAAAAAAATCTTAGAATAATTTAAGGTTTGCCTTTTATACCTGTTTTGAAAGCCTTTACATTTTTGTCAGGTAATTTTTCCCAAGCCGTGAATATAATCTATTCAAACATGTTTATGCTATCCATTCTGTTTTTAAATTGAAAAAAATGTTAAAAGTGTTTATGAAGAAAAGTTTAAATAAAATATTTTTCATCTTTAAAATATACTTCTTTATCTCTTATTATTTACTATCTTTATATAATCCATCAGTTTCAAAGTCACTCATGACTTGATTAGCAGTATCCATTCTGTTTTCCTTCAGCGTGCCAACAAATGCCACAGAAATGTGATTTCTACTGATGCTTTCAGCCAGAGATTGAAACAAAAATATTAAAGTGAAATTATTTACACTTACATGCAATGGAAATTTTATTAATGAAGGCAAGTAATTTAAAGTTCTAACACAGAGTTTTGCAGAATGGAAATACAGAATTAAGAGAAAGCATTTACAAGCCTCAAACCCTAGTTTGGTGATTTGTAGATTTCCTTTAGCATTTTCGATTCATTGTTCTTAAAGGCATATCTGGAATTAGGAAATCGACTGGAATCAGTCTGCTACATGGCAAGCACTTGGGTACACATAGGCCTACGTGCCAGCTCGCGCTTCCTTTAAAATGAACTGAAAAGCCTCAGCAGGATTCCCTGGATCCTGTCCTCAAGCCACCTTTCCATCCTCTCTCCCTTTGTCACTTCCTACATTCTGTTGTGATCATTGTGTGTTAATTTCCAGCCTTAAATTACTTGCCACCTTCCCCCTACCCTGCTTGCAAAATTCACTCCTTTTTTAAAGCTCAACTCAAATGTTCCCCTCCCCTCCTGCAACCTGTTCTCTCTCAGTGAATTAATTGCCTCTTCTGCATTTAGCACATTTGTAGTGCTTATTTCATTTTGCATAATAGTTGGGTATAATTCATTCTCCACAACTAGATCCTAGTTTTCTTGGATGAAAGAACCTTCTTTTATTCCTTTTTGTACCCTTATATCTAGCATGATACTTTTCATACACAAAAGGCGCACTGAGTTCTAAATGTTTATGGCAGCATGTGACAAATTCCATATGAGTTCCAGACATGCTATAGGCATTTGGAAGAGGGAGATATTAGTTCCCCAGGGGTTTTGTCTCAGATTCCTTTTCTGTCTACTCCGTGCCCAGTCTCATCCACACCTGTGGCTTCACCCATAACTTTTATTCTGATAGCTGTCAAATCTGTACTTCTCCATGAAGAGTTCCAGCCATCTGAACATATTTCACATGTTTTAGCAGAATTTCAAACAGAACAAGTGCAAACCTGAATACATTATCTCCTTCCAAAAACCCTGCCCCTTGTCCTGTGTTCCTTATATTAAGACGTGGCTGTACCATTGCTCGGGACTGTTCAAGGGGAACACCTAAACATCTTGGTTTTATTCGGTCCTGTCAGTTCAAACTGTGACTTGCCCTTTCCTCTCCATTCATACTTCCCTCATTTAGGCCCTTGCATTCTTGCTGGCCTCTGGGAATTTTCTGAAGTTTACTTCCACAACATTTTCTACATTGCTGCCAGAGGGACATTTCAAAATGTAAATCTGATTCTGAGATTCAACAGCTTTAATAATCTGCTGGTCATTACCCTGGCTGGGTAGCTTAGTTGGTCAGAGCATCCCAATATGCCAAGGTTGCTGGTTCCATCCCGGTCAGGGCACAATCAAGAAACAACAGTGAATGCATAAGTAGTGGAACAACAAATTGATGTTTCTGTCTCTCCCTCTTCTTATCTCTTTCTCCCCTTTCCTCTCTCTCCAAAATCAGGGTTTTTTTAAAGATTATTTTTAGAGGGGAAGGGAGGAAAAAAGAGATAGACATCAATGTGTGGTTGTCTAGCGCATCCCCTTCTGGGGACCTGGCCTGCAACCCAGGCATGTGCCCTGACTGGGAATTGAACTGATGACCCTTTGGTTTGTAGGCCAGTGCTCAATCCACTGAGCCACCTCGGCCAGGGCTCCAGAGTAAATTTTTTTTTAATCTCCTTTCATCTTGAGAATAAGATCCAAATTCCCTAGCCTGCCACACAAGATCCTTTATGTTTTGCTCCCTTTGTACTTGTTTGATCTCTTGATACCCCATACTCGAGCTATGCAAGCTATGTGGAGTTCCCTGAATATACCACATTTTCTGTAGCTTCTCTGACTTTGTACATGTTCTTCCCTTCTTCCTTACTGGCTGAGCTTTCTTGACCTTCAAGAACTAACCTGGGCATCACAGCCTCTGTCAAGTGTTCTTTAACCCCTTGGGCCAGGTTAAGTGTGCCCTTGGTCATACAATAGCACCTTGTGGGCGCCTACACCCTTGCCTCCTCTGACCCTTGACTGTAACTGTTTCCTCTATCCCACCTTTAACTGTACTCTGTGAGGGCAGATACCATCTTTTATCTTTCTTTTCCAAGAGTCTAACTTAATGTCTGGCACATGGTAAGTCCTCCCTAATAGAAATAGAACCCAGCAACTTGGAAGGTCACCAATGAAATGCTCCTGGTGAGGCGGGGCAGCTGTATTAGCTCGATTGTCTGCCAGAATTGACCTCCTGAGGAGTTCCCTCCGTTCATTTCCACCACCACTGCTCCCACGTCTGGAAGGTTGACACATACAGCAGCGCAGTTGTCAACAGATACTTCTTCCCTTCACATCTCAGTATTTCTGATCCAGGCTGAAAAGTTCAAGTCAAATAGACCAAAAGCACATTATTAATCCTGTGAAATGCTTTTTGGCGGAAAGAAGTGGCAGTCACAATAATCTTGAGAAACACTACATAAAATTTCTTTTTCTTAGAAAATCTCAAGAAATGGCATATTAAAGGCTCTTAGAAGTCCTTGTTTTAACTCATTTTGATTTTGTTCAGTGTAAACCAAACATTTGATCACTGAACTCTTTTTCATGCACTATATATGATTCATAAGTGTTATTGATAAGGAATAAGTAATAGAAAACAAGTACAGAGGACCACTCATTCAGGTACTCTGGTGAAAAAAAAGTGGACTTCATCCTGCAGGCCCAGTTAGTTTCCAGGCTGAAGTTGACATTTAGCCAATGTGATGTTATCCTGGGGATTTCACATGCTGAGGAAGGTCTCACCTTCCCCTGAGAGCTGGGTGAATTTGCATAATTACTTGTACAACTTGTATGGTTTAAGGAACAGGACTTCCAGAGTGGCCAAGTAAAGAGCTCAGCAAATCCTCTCCCTAAAATGCAGTGATAAAACTGAACAAACTTGTTAAAAAAAGAGTAAAGACAAGTTTACGCCTGGGGCTGTTCCCACCACAACTCCCCTTCCCCTGGCTCTGTGGCACAGTTTTACCAGGGCCATCTGAGGGAATCTACCTTTATTTGGAGTGGAGTATCCCATAGGTCACTGTGGCTGACCTTGCAGCTAGCCTGAGGTCTCAATAGTGATTGCATTTAGTAATAGACTGGCAGATAGACCAGCTAGGAATTGAACAGGAGATCTTGTCAATGAAACAGCCTACTCTATCCCTGGTGGCCCAGAAGTCTGTGCTCAGGGATAAGGCTGCGTTCACCTAAGAGGGCTAAAGCAAAGTACTTGCCCCTGGCTGGATGTGAGGCCTTGTAAACACAGAAGATAGTATCTGGAGTAGACTTAGAAACTTTGAACTTTGAATGCATTCCCCAAGCCACACACACATGTATCAGCAAAGGGTAGAAGGAAGCCTTTGGTGACCCATGGTGTTTGAGTGTAACTTCTGAGCAATCATTGGCTGACCACTAAGGTATGCCAACTGGGGTGATTGCTTAGAATCCAATCTTACACGTAACAGAGCAGAGTTATCAGTGGTCATACATGAGGGTGGGGGAGGGGGGAAGTGAGTGGAGTATCAGCTCCACAGAATTCCTCCAGGCAAATCACTAAACAAACACACCATACACACACACACAAAAAAAAAAAACCCAAAACACACAGAATCTAAAGTTGCTACAATATTTAAAATGTCAAGTTTCCAAAAGAAATCATGAGGCATGCAAAGAAACAGAAAAGTGTGACCCATTCCCAGAAAAATAAGGAGTCAATAGAAACCTGTTTTAGGGATCAGAGTGTTATGGAGAGCAATAAAATTATAGTATTGTATCCTGTATTTCACATAAAATTTTATTAGGAACAATTTCACAAGTCATTACAATTTCTTTGAAAATAACACTTTTACTGATTGCTTCATGTTCCATAATATGTCTGTTGCAATTTATGTAATCATGCCCCTACTGTGAGACATCACTACATTTTTAAAATAGTTCTTTCATTTGATTTATATGATACATATTATCTATACTTCCAATTACTTCCTGAGTGCGGTTTTCTAAAGGTGAAAGAAAATGAACTATTTAAAGTCCCTGACAAATATTGCTAGATGAAGCTTCAGGAAAGTTGTATAATATTAGACACAATATCAGCAATGAATATGTGTTTCTTTTTTTAAAAGGTTTTATTTATTTATTTTTAGAGAGAAAGGAAGGAGAAGAGAGAGGGAGAGAAACATCAGTGTGTGGTTGCCTCTCACGTGCCCCGCACTGGGGACCCTGCCCAAAACCCAGGCATGTGCCCTGACCAGGAATCAAACCAGCGACCCTTTGGTTCATAAGCCAGCACTCAATCCACTGACCACACCAGCCAGGGCTGAATATGAATTTCTTTATTACCATACTCTATTCTTGAAAAAGAAATAAAGAATCATTAGCAATCTAATAGGTGAAAATTGTATCTTCATTTTTATTTTCTTTATTATAGTCAGGGTTGAGTAATTTTTCACCTCTATGTGCCAATATGTCATTTATGCATTTTCAGTGGTATTTTACTGTTTTTGTTAATGGATTTGGAAAGATTTCTCATAAACTATGCTTGCCACATCAGTATACTATCCCAAATGATGACTAGGTATCTTTAACTATTGGGGCAATTTAAAAAATCATACCATCAAATTTCATTAAGCGCAGAAAGCAAATACAACAATTTAGAGAAAAACAAAAGGGATGGGAATTATATCAATGAAGCAAAATGGTTAAGAATCAACTATGTTTAAGAGATAACAGCAGCTGATAAAGATATTAAGAAAGGCATGGTATACACTATAGG